ATTTGATCATTCACCTGCAAAACACTTATGTCTCTAATGACATGAGTTTTAATTCAATTCACGGGAGGTTAAAAACGATGGAGGGGTCTTCTAACACTTGGAAGTGTTCGGTGGATGCTTCTCTCTTTCCTCGTTCGTAGCTCACAGGTTTTGGGTCTATTCTTTTTACACCCAATGGTTCTTTCAAGGCTGCAATTAATGGTGTTACACATAGAGATTTTGATCCCTTTATGGCTGAAGTTGTGGCTTGTAGGGAGGCTCTTTCCTGGCTAAAAAACATGAGCGTTGATGCGGTGGTGCTCTCCTTAGATAATTTTAAATTGGTTCAAGTATTACAATAAAGGGATGCCTCGTCCGTTTTGTCCTACGTGGGCTCAAATTTGGACACTTGCTTTACTCTTATTTCTTCCTTTAGGCATATCGAATTTCATTTTGTTCGTAGATGTGAGAATATTTTGGCTCATGTGTTTGCTAGACATGTTAAGGTTTGTGTTGATGTGTGGGAGTCTAACCCACCAGACTTTCTTGTTCCTTTTTTGAATGATTAATCATTATTATGTTGTTTAAAAAAATAAGATTTCATCAATTGATTCAATTTAAATCGCAATAATTCATTAAATAAAAATTGCATTCAATAAAAAAAAGTACATAAATTTAAAAGCAAAAAAGTACATTAATAAAAAATAAAAAGGCATATTATATTTAGTTGTGATCTCGTTTTGTTTTTTCTCGTAATACTTTTTTTTTTGAATTCAGCTGACGCATCAAAGTTTATTTCCATTATTTCGAGCTCATCCTTCTCTATCCTCCGTTTATCGTCTCTTATTTCTTGAGATTGAACAACCGCATTTGTTCAACCATTCATCGGTTGATATCATCACATGAGGAAACTGAGTTGGACCCCGAACTCGACCCAATTGAATTAGTCTTCTCTCTTTCGATCGGTCATGGAATGGGGTACTCGTCGTCACACTCATCAACAATGTAACGCCTTGAAACTCAACATACCAGAATTAGTTAATTAAGAATATTTAATTAATTATTGAGATGGGCCGAGAGTTTATTTTAAATATTCGTTAATAAAATTGATGCAAGAGGCCGACACGGTTTTAATAGGGTCCAAAAGTATACCTCTGCATTTGTTCACTACAAGATTTAGTTCATTTTTCAACGAAATATCTGCTACGGAATTATATCGTCACAAATTCCCACTGAAATTGCAACGGAAATAAGGACATTTAGAATGTTGGAACATTTGCGATGCAGTAAACATTTCCATCGCATATCTACGACGGAGTCTATATTCTGTTGTAAACGGTAGATCGTCAACTTTTTAAATTCATTACTTGCGATGGAATCTGCGACAATTTAATATCCGTCACAGGTTTTAAATAAAATCTTATCTCTGCAGCACTCGGGTCATCTAATCTGAAGTGTGAACCAGCCGTCCTATTTTTCTTTGCCGCCAGTGATCGTTCGCCGTCCGCCGACCCACCACCCGCCCAACCGTCGTCCGCCGATCAAGTTAAACCCTAATTGTTTCCCTCAATTGAAGTGTGAAACTTATCTTGACAATTTTTCCTTATGATTGTGAAAGAAAAGGTTCGTTGCAATTTTCGTCGCAAGCCACAATAAAGGAGAGCAAAATGTTTGTCACAAATTCTATTGCTATCTGTGGCGGATTACACATTCCGTCGCTGAGTATACATTTGGTCTATCAGTCACTGTCGCCGTTGCAGATAGGGGTGTTCAAAAATATCCGATCCGAAATATCCGTCCACGATCCGGGCCGATCCGTTCCGAAAAATGGATATTTGATGTGATATTTTAGCTTTCGGATATTTCGGATCGGATACCCGAAAAAAATCGGATCGGATATAGATTCAATTTCTGGAATTTTTCGGATAATCGGATATCCGATTTTTTTTGCTAAATGTTTTTGGAATTTTGTGGATATATATTATGACTTTATGTTTAAATGTAATTTTATGTTGATTTTGGAACTAAACCATTTTGGACTTTTTACATTAGCATTTTATAATCTTTTGTTTTAATAATGTTTTTTTTAAACAAAATTACCAAAGTTACTCCCAAATTAAATTTGGTATCATTTTTTATTAGGCCATTACCTAGTGGTAAAATTTTTCTTTGAGTAAATCTATATTGAATTTGATATTTTGGGTTGATTTTGATATTTTACTTTTTTTGTAAATTTTGGCTAAAACCTCAACTTTTCGGATAATCCAGTGATCTGATCCGAAAAATCGGATATCCGAATTTCGGATATCTGAAAATTTTCGGATCAGATATGGAATGAGTTTTGCATGATCCGAAATTTTCGGATATCCGAATTTTCAGATCGGATCGGATCGATCCGATTGAACACCCCTAGTTGCAGGTCTGCAACAATTTTAACATTCCGTCGCAAATATGGGAAATGCGACAATTTGTTTGTGAAAGATTTATTCTGTTGCACGCCTGTGGCAAATTCTAATTCTGCAACCAAAATAAAGTACGTGCGACAAAAATGGTCTGTCGCAGATTTAGCAAAATTTTATAGTGGTTAGATGGCGCCCTACAGAACCACTGGTGACATGTTTGACGAATATTTGAAGATGTCAGCTCAAAACATCGGGTCAAGTGTTTATACATTTTCTAAAGTTATTATTTGACTGTACCATGAGAGACATTTACGTAAGCCGACGACAAGCGACATTGAGCAGTAACAAGCGAGACATGCTGCTAAACACGACTTTGACTCTGTTCCGATCAACTTATTTTTTCTGATTTGATATGATTTTTTGTAGTTCTTATATGATCTAATCTGATCTGATTGGATCTGATCTGATGGAATCTGATCTAATCGGATTGGATCTGATCTGATTAATTATGATTTGATTTAAAATTCAAATCAATAATTTGTTGTGACTTTGTAATAACTTTTGAAAATTGTAATGATAATTCATATTATAATATACTCCGTAATCAATATTTTTTATTTTATGATCATTTTTAATAAAATAAAATTAGTTAATTCATATACTAGAATAATCATTCATATTATAATGTAATTATATAATGTAATAATATTTTTTTCATTCATACTTTATAATGTAATAACTTTAGAAACTTAAATTACAGCTAACAATAAAAATGTATTTTTAGAGTAGAATTAAATTGACATTGTCAATGTATTTTAAAAATAATTTTTCTGATGTCTAATAATTAAGGATTAGTTTTTCAGTTTTCTATTTAACTTGTTTCTAAAGTTTAATATTTTTTATTTTTAGAAAAAATTGCGCTTCATATCATTTATTTTTCTCTACGTAAATTATAATCGCACAAAAGTTTCATTTTCTTTCTTCTTATATTTTTTCAAGAGAAATTAAAGTTATTTTTCGAAAGAATCGTATCAAGTGAAACAAGTAAAAAGTATGGAATTTAAAAAGTATGGAGGAATAACGACAATGATAATGATAAAAATAATAAATCAAATAATAATAATAATAATTCTTGATTAGATTTAATCTGATTTGATCTGGTCTGATATAATTGGATCTGATATGATATGATTGGATCTGATCTGATTTGATTAGATCTGATAAGGTCTGATATGATCTGATCTAATTTTAATAAGAATAAGAAAAAAACAGATAAAATAAGTTGGATGGAACGGAGCCTTTGTCAGCATGTTTGGGAGCATCAATTGCATGCATTGGGAATAAAAGATCTATCCCATTGTGCGGTTAGTATTCATGGGGTGATCATTCTAAACCTACTATTGTGCTCGAAGCAGTGACTTACTTCAAATAATCTATGGTTTTGATATGTGTTTTTGTGTTTTCCAGCTCGAACAATGACATAAATGTTTTTGATCATGTATATTTGATGATTGGGTTAATGATGTTGGATTTGACTCGTCTTTTGAGCTTAGAAATAAAAATTCAAAAGAATTAAAATTAAACCAATTTGTGTCGGGAATTGGAACCGTACTGTACCACCGACCATGGGTAAAAGAAATCTCCTTAGATAGGAGTAAAAAAGTATAAAAATGGGTAATTTTCCTAAATAGGACTAAAATATAATGACTTTCTCAATATAAGATCATACAGTATGTTTTTATTTTTCAATGTAGGACCATTGGTCATTATCTATTATACCCTCCGTCCCCCTGTATTTGCCCACTTTCATTTTTACACACCATCCAATGCACTTTTTTAATTCATTTTATCTTGTAATTTGTATATTAAAAATTATAAAAATTATATATTAATAATCTATATGTTAAGACAAATCAACCAAGATCACACATGACTATATTTAGGCTTACACATTGAGAAAATTTGATGAGTCAAAGTGCTTAGATGAACAGTTCCAAAAGTCAAATGTGGACAAATACAGGGAGACGGAGGGAGTAGTCATTATTCAACTAAATATCTACAATAATTTGGACATTATTCTTCTCACTAGTCATTATTAAGTCCTAGTTAGGGAATAAAAAAGTTTAAGTCCTACATTGGGAAATGACTTATGTTTCAGTCCTATTCAGTGCAAATTTCGTTATAAAAATACTAAAATAGGAGTTCCAAGTCTTTAATGAGTAAAAATAGAAAGATAATGACAGTGTGATATAAGAATACGCATTGATAATGTGATAGAAAAATGATGACAATATAATATATCAGTATGATGAGTCCATCGTTGCAATACTCGAGGACACTCTCGTGACCGGCAGCGAAAGATGACAACTTAAGAGTTAGGAAAATGCTAGGGGTACACCAAAAGTGTACCCCAAACATCCCCCACCTCCTCCATCACCACACAAAAAAGCAAAAAATTTTCAAAAAAATTTAAAATTAAAAACAAAATAAAATGAATAGTTAGTAGGAGGGTGGTGTACATTTGGGGTACACTTTTTGGTGTACCCCTAGCATATCCCTAAGAGTTATTGAGGTCTCATTTTAGTCTTACTACCTGGTACTACTAGTCTCATGGTCAATGGTCATGTCTTTTAAAATCACCGTCATCCTTGACCCAGCTTTACAAGAAGCTCCATCTGGTATTTCTTCTTCCACAAGTTCTCCATCCATTCCTGGCGTCCTTCATATTCTACATTCTACAGACAAATCGCCCTTCTCCCATATCCATTCTACCATATCCACAGAACCTCAGGTATTTCTTTTTCTACACTCCATCTTCATCTTCGCTTCTTAATCCTCAAACTATAAGGAGTATTAATTATACGTGTTACAGTACTACCCTGAGTAAAAAAAACCAATTCCCTTTTCCAGATACGAAACACAATTACTGATGTTTTTATCATATATTTATAATTTAGATGGTTGATATTCCACACCTGACTCAATGTTCTACAGATCTTATATGAGCCCTATTATTTTCTGAAATGTTTATGAAACAACACTCTCACATCACATTTTAGATAGACATCCGATTTTTGTTTTTTGTTAAATATTCTTCTGTTTTTGAAATTAACGAAGTAAATGCCATAGTGTATCGTTATTAAATTTGATTCATGCTTTTCTTCTTCTTCTTCTCAATTATGAAATGGCGATCAGAATGATGGATTCAATTAGTCTGGCTCACAGTAGCTTACTCGACACCAGGATTGATTCTCAGAGAACTCTGTATGTACGCTCAGTCCCTGACTTTGCTGTGCACATTTTTGGATTGCAATTTTTCGTGCTTTTCAATCTGGTTACTAAGATATTGTAGGATCTATGGTTACGATTGGAATGCGTGAATCGTGCTTTAAAGGGATCACAAATATAATTACTCATTTATTTGTTCGGTTAACCAAATGTAACTCACTCAATCTCTAGAAGACAATTTTTATTCTAAAATATATGGTGTATTGAATGTGATGAGAATTAGCTTCTTTTGTTCATATTGGACTCTTTTTCAAAGAATAAATTTAGGCGCATGATTCGTTTATGGGACAGAGGGAGTATTTTGTTTACCAGTAATCATTGTATAGTGTTCAAACCCTAGCTATGTGCTCAGAAATTCAATTTTTTTTTCAAATGAAAAAAATTGCTCCTTTTTAAAAACAGAAATGGGAGTGTACAGTTCATGTGGAAATCTAAAACAGTGGGAAACCATCCTTATCTTACAGGAATAGGCTTTGAAGCCTGCTGTCCAAGCACATGTAATCAGCAGAAACATTATTTCTCTAAGCACATGTCTAACACTATGTTTGGTTTGAGGATATAGGAAGAAAAGGAAAAGAAAAATTATTTCTCTTCTTTTTCTCACCAAAGTGGAAGGAAATTTGTTATCTTCCTCTTAGTTTATTTCTTGCCCTCATTTGATTTTCCTTCTATTTTTCTTTTCTTTTTTACGAAACCAAATAAGAAAAATTGTTTTTCCATTCCATTTTCTTTTCATTTCCATTGGGAGCTCCTAGAACCAAACATAGTGTAAAAGTCACATTTGCATTGGATTTCAATTCTTTAACCTTTATCAAGTGTCACACAAGTTCTCAAAGACAATTTTGCCCTTATCCCTACAAAATTTGATAGCAGCCCAGGAATATGCTATGCCAATGACTTGTATAGCCCTTGCTTAAACAAAGATTCAGACCAAAGTATTTGGTCCTTAAGGACCTTCCCATTAACGAGAAATTTAGGGTGTGAGGTGCACACGGGGTACCCGAGGTGTGTGCCTCACGAACATAGGCGTAATGGAGGGAACAAAGATTATCACATTTCATATCGATAATGTGAACTTTTCGAACACATAAAACACAATCCATGTAAAAATGGAACCTAAAGTAGTGAGGATAATATAAGTTTCATTGTTTTAAGCCAAGCTCTACTCCGGAATTTGATAATAAATCAAGAAACTTTTACTGAACTACCATGTACCATACATCAATTGATGACTATTCAATTATAAAACCCGTCATCCTCCGGCCATCGAATTGTAAATCACCATCATCCTAAAAGAGTTTATCTCCACTCTTCAGTATATTGTCCTTTTGGTTCACCCTCTATTTGGCATCTAATCAGCATCACAAAAACAAATTATTTTTATCATCTTCACCGACAAGTTATCAGCCTTTCTAATTGGAAGCTTCCTTCTCACCCTTTTCCATTGACACCTCTCCCTTCTCTGTTGAGCGTTTCCTTGTCCACATTCATAGGCATTACTCTTAGATTAGAGCTTGGCGGCATTATTTAGAGTTCTTTTCTTAAAAAACAAATTCATTTTATCATTGTCTTTGACAAGTGATAAGCCTTTCCAGCCAGAATCTGCCTTCTTTCCCTACTCCATTGGCGTCTTCCATTTCAATACTCATGTCTTTTCTTATCTGCATTTGTAGGCTTGAAACTTGAATTAGAGCTTGACGGCATTGTTGTGACATCATTTATTCTTGTTAAATATATTGGTTCATCGCAATGTGGTACAAATCATAATTTTAATATTGTGTTTATAATCATCAGCATCATCATCATCAACATGGTCTCACTAGCCTTTTCAATATTGATTGCGCAACACAATTTTTCTCAAGTGATATATCAAAGTATTTGGTGTTTTTGTATAGGGACCCCTATGTGACAGGCACATCAGTGGTTGGAATTAAATACAAGGATGGTGTACTACTGGTTGCTGATATGGGAGGTAGTAATTTATATCAAATCAATAATGTTATTTTCAGATGATCATACCAGTTATGAGCTCAGAATACAACCACAGCTCAAAAGAATGCTTGTATTTCTGTGATTGAGAAGACTAGATTATTTTATTTGTGCATCTGTATAATTCAACTGTCAATGCCGACTGCTGCCTTCATGCATTGTCAATTGAGTTATTTGGGTTGTAGAGTAGTACTAACAATAACAACAACAACAACAACAACAATAATGTGCATTTGAAATAAAAGAGTAGAGAAGGCAATGGCTAGTCTAGTCTACGAGCGACTAACTCTAGATTCTACTACTTATCAAGCTTGTAGGTTCTTGACAAATTGTTACAAGTATTTACAACATTCAAGGATACCTCATCCTAATATTTTACTTACTCGGATAAACCTCACTCCAACACTCCGCTTCTCGGAGATCCCCCACTTCAGGATTTCACTCTTTACCTTAGGCTGAGAGTTCACAAGAAGAAATATAATCTTCCCAACAGGCCAACACTCAAGAATACACTCTTACAATGAATTCCTTAGACTTAAATAAAATAAAATATGTCTTGGAATCTTTACTTGAACAGAAAGACTTTCGATTTATTATAAAGTACTTGGTCTTCTTCAGCTGTCTGTGTCCATTGTGTTTGTCCATTTTGATCATCGCTCAGCTTATGTTTGTTAGTTATCAAAACCTACAAATCAACCTTTAACATAACAAAAGTCTTGAACTCTTGCATTTTAACACAATTGATATATTATAATTGATCATTTTTTGTATTCTACTACTAATGTTCTTACTATTTTTTCATTTTAAGGTTCTTATGGGTCCACCTTGCGGTACAAGAGTGTGGAGAGATTGAAGCCTGTTGGGAAACACACGATTGTTGGTGCAAGCGGTGAGATTAGTGATTTCCAAGAGATTTTGCGCTACCTTGACGAGCTAATGTAAGTGTCTGCAGTTATATTGTTGTGAATTTTAGTAAGCTTCTTTCTTACTGAACTTTGTTTTCTACTAAACACTTCATGGGTGCATAGCTTGTATGACAATATGTGGGATGATGGGAATTCTTTGGGTCCCAAGGAAGTTCACAACTATCTGACCCGTGTTATGTATAACCGGCGCAATAAGTTCAATCCTCTTTGGAATTCCCTTGTCCTTGGTGGTGTGAAGAATGGGCAGAAGTATCTTGGAACGGTAAAACACAGTTCATACACACATTACATTTTCTGTTCATGCATCTAACTTGTCTTACACTCCTCATAGGTAAATATGATTGGTGTGCACTATGAGGATGACCATGTGGCTACTGGATTTGGGAATCACCTTGCTCGTCCCATTCTGCGTAAAGAATGGAATGAGAATATGAGTTTTGAAGAAGGTGTCAAGTTATTGGAGAAATGCATGCGTGTGCTTTTGTACCGTGATAGGTCTGCTGTGAACAAGATCCAGGTATATGATGTTGAACCAGGGTCTTAAAGTGCAAATAAGCAAATTGATGTGAAACTTGGAAGGAAAGAAAAAAGAATTTAAAAAATTAGTCCGAACTCCGAACCAAATAAATCAATTTGTTGAAATTTGTTCAAAACTGATTTTATCTGACATGTCTATCATAGAAAGCCAATAAATCAATTTGTTGAAATTTGTTTAAATCTGAATTTATCTGACATGTCTATCATAGAAAGCCAAACATAAGATCTTGTCATTATAAGTCTCTTTGTTTCTCACAAAGGTAACTCTGTGTAAATATCTTGATCCCTTAACCCCAACATAGGGTATGTTCTATTCATATTAATTTTAGCTAAAATCTAGAGTTTTTCTATCACTGCTTCATACCCCTCATACGTCATAGTAAGGCAATTGCCCGATTCTTGGCATTCAATTGTCAGATTATAAACTATCAAAGCGTTTAATTTTTTCACCTTCAAAAGCGTAAATTCGTAAGATGATTTTTTTTGACACAATTGGATGGAATTGCAGATTATGAAAATCACCGAGGAGGGGGCAACCGCATTCCCACCGTACTCATTAAGGACCTACTGGGGTTTCACTGCTTTTGAGAATCCATCATCTGGTGCTGAAGGCTCATGGTAGTAGTCACCGACTCACCGGCTCCTAGACGGGGTACCAAGAAATGGAGTGGTTCAGCAGTCTCTTGTTGTTTTTACACTATTGATCTGACTTTTAATTGCTTAATTAACTGTTTACTGTTGTTGACTTAAAAAAGCCCGACTTGACTTTATGAACAATGTTCTATCTTGTTTCCCCTATGTGTTTTTGAATTGAGCAATGGCATACTTTCTTCATTTTGTTCCCTTCTCTGGTTTGATGTCTATCTGTAACTCACTGTTCTAAATTTCTACTCCCCGTCCCAAAAAGTCTTTCCTGTTTCATTTTTTGCGCATCCCATAAAACACTTATATCCCGCCTTGAATGCCAAAAAATCTTTCAAAATAACTTCTACCCACAATAAAGAAGAAATGTTGTAAATTTTAGGTATTTTAAATGTCGGTAGAAGTGTTTCATGGGATGTGCAAAAAATGAAACATGAAAGATTTTTTGGGACGGAGGGAGTAGTTATTTTATGGGCTCATTTGGATGGAGGGCTTTGTATGGTACTCGCTCTGTCCCCCTGTATTTGTCCACTTTCATTTTTGCACACCATCCAATGCACTTCTTTAATCCATTTTATCTTGTAATTTGTATATTAAAAAATTATAAAAATTATATATTAATAATCTATATGTTAAGACAAATCAAACAAGATCACACATGACTATATTTAGGCTTACACATTGAGAGAATTTGATGAGTCAAAGTGCTTAGATGAACAGTTCCAAAAGTCAAATGTGGACAAATACAAGGGGAGTACTTAATACTTCCTCTTATTCGTGTTCAACATTGTAATCATTGTGTTGGGGGGAGCAAAGAATTTTACCCGTTCCATCTAAAAAAACTTTATGAAGTAACAACCCGTCACACTATAACAAAATCTAGTGGCGAAGTTTGTTGATCAACACAAAGTTTTAATGGATATTCATAAAAGTTGCCAGTGCAACAATTATCTGAATGAATGAAGGAGGTAAATCAAAGGGTAAAAAATAATAATTGTAAAATTTACCTTTTTTTTTACATAATTTTATCCTCCAATGTGGAAGGTAAAGGAGAAGGTATTATACCTTCCTTAATTTTGGAAAGGTATATTTACCTCTTCAATTTTGGAGAGGTATACCAATTTCTCCTCTTTCCTTAAAATACCTTTATTTTGGGAAACATATATTTACCTTCTCCATTTACCTTCTTCCATTGGAATAAAAAAGTTTTTAAATAGGTATATTTACCTTTTTGAGAAGGTAAATGAGCAAAATATCTTCTCAATTTACTTTTTCCTTTTGGAGTTGTTCTTATAACCTAATGACTACGGATGTACTCCCCCATTAACTTGGGCCTTGTTTGATAATAACTTTTTTGATTATCGTTATTATTTTGGATAAAATTAATTCTAAATATGTTTACACTAAATGCTACCATCAAATAATTTTTTTAAAATGCTGACGTTAATCTCTAACGCTGATGCCAAACGGGACTTTGAAGTGTTAAATAACAACTCATACCACTAGTGGTGAACTTTTCTTTTTGACATCTCATTTTGAAAGAAACTTTAATGTTAAATATGTTTGACTTGAAAGATTTTCTAGATGGGTAAGTCTTCTTAAAAATTCATGGAGAGGATATAAGCGAAATAAAGTATGATGGAAATGGTTAGTTGTTTATTTGTTAGACTAAATGGTAGGCATGACCGGATTCAACAAGATTATCAACACATTATAATCTAAATTTTATTATCGTCCAAGTAGTCAAGATGTGCACACTTTTGATCATGTAAAAACAAAGAGGGTGTTTTGTTAGACCCAACATTTATTGCTCAATACATTACAAAACAAGAAACAACATAAGTTTAATGTTCCATCTTGATATGGTTCATTATGTGTTCAAAATTAAATATTGTTAATAATGTTTTTTTTGCATTTCACACTAAAATAAGTGATGTTGAATTTCTTTTAGATTGTTTAAGTATTTTGCAAGCTATCTAGCAGACTAGCACCGTGTTCACACTTCTTCTATAGTTCTACGTCTTACTTTGGAGTGTAAGTTGAGGTGCGTTATATTCTTATGGCTTCATTTAACTCTATTTCTTAGACACTTGTTCCTTAAGTCATGAATAGAGATCGTTGTCCATAATTTTTCTATTGCGAGCTGCGAGCTAACCCTCCAAACTTTTTTTATCTTTTTGATGAATTAATATATTAACCCCCCTTAAAAATAATAAATATTAATATGGTTTACCTTTTAAAAAAACTATAACAAGAGAAAGTTTTTACACCTTGCTACAACATTCCTTCTATACCATATTTTGTTTAAAAAAATGCTTCTTTAGTGAACATGAGATCGACATCATATTTTGTGGATATTCTCACATAAAAGATATTTTTTTTAATTATAAAAAAATACTCATCAGGGAACTAAACATTTTCTTATCCACATTTTAGATTCATATATTTTAGATCAGACATTTGAATAAATCATACTCCGTATCATACATGGAATACAATTTAATTTTAACGTTCCGAATATCTACGGATATTCATGGTTTTTTTGTGTACTTAAAAAAACATAAATATAAAATGTGAGTTTTCTTTTTCTTAAAATGTTAAAGCAATTTCTCTTCATGGATTTTGGATATTTGGCTTTTCAAATATATTTGAGAATTATGGCACTACAAATTAAATGAGCATAGGCAACATACAAAACTGCAACAATATTAAGGATGTTGTCAAAGACTATCTTTGGCAACAGTTTACACATGATGCTTTTAAGTTTGAATTATTTGTAAATGTTTTTGTAGTAACAACACAAAAATTGTTGCCAAATAGAATATAAGGCAACACAAAGTAGTTGTTGCTCAAGTGTGAAAAAAGAGGCCAGCGGGAAAGCTAAATTTTATTGGCGCGCATCCATAGAAAGAAAGGGGGCAAATACTTAAAATATACCATTCTCCCATTTTGCAAGACAATTCTCCAAATTAAAAGGAAAATTGAGATGGGGAGTTAGGGTTCAACGATTCTCGCAAACAATTGTCGATTCTCCTCAACCGTCTCTTCTCCTACCATACCATCAAAGTGTTCGATTAGCTCTATCACAGGTCAGGATCGATTAGCTCTGTTTTTTTACAAATCGAAGCACCACCATGTTTTTTTTACAAAATGCCGATTCTCCTCATATATCAATAGCTTGCTGTTTCCAACTGAAATGTGTTCTGATTCCTTTATAATGTTTGGTTTCCAAATTAAATATTGGGGTATGAAGCAAGTTCTCTTGGTTGTTGTTGAACTTGTTTCCTTGTTGAGTATAATAAATTTATGTTTCCAGATTTGTATCTGAAGATGTAGATGTCAGGAAGAAAACAAGCACAACCTTCAACCGAATCACAAATGAATTGGATTGAATTTTGATTACATGTATTTTTTGCTTGGAATCAACAATTAAATTCATTTTTTCAATTTTATAATAGTATGGAATCAACACATCCACTTGCTAGTGTTCCATACTTAATGTTCAGCTTTATCTACATTCTATGGATTGGTTGCTTACCTAGGTTTCTAGGTTCAGTATAGAACCTTACTGCTACCATGTTCTGCTATGGACTGCTTGTTCTAGAAGAATTTCATATAATGTGTAAAATGGAGAGACAACATTGATTTAAAAAACATATAATTAGTTCTGTTTTTTGAGAGTCCTTAAAAACAAAATATTCTTTTCTTAATTTTCTTGAATAGATGAACAATGGGAACGAAGAAAAAGAAACTGGATATGCTTGGAGCCACTGGACATCTAAATTTGCAAAGTTCGGATGTTTTAAAATTGACAATGTCAAGTTATGAGAAGCAAAGGCTAGAAAGGATAAAGCTTAATGCTGCAAAAATGAAAGCTTTAGGACTAGAGGAAAAAGCTAGGTTGCTTTTAAAGAAACATTCAGAGTTGAATAATCAGAAAAAATTACAAAACAAAAAATTCCAAATGTGCTGAACCCTGAGGTACTTTATTCACTTCAAATATGCTCAAAATATGATATTCCTAGATGTCCTTTTGCTTGTTTTTTGGCTGGTATTGAATTGTAATTCTTATTTTTAAAACACACTTAAGGCCTCCTTAGTTTTGTGTGGGTTTTTTACTTGTTTGTGGCAACATGTATGGGATAAAAAAGGACTTTATTATTAGTCAGAATCATGAGTACAAACTGAATTCAATTGTTAATTTGATGTAAATGATTTCCTTTTAGCTTAACTTTCAGAGAATAATGATTTAGCTTAATGCAAAATTTGAATGTTCTTAATTCAATTCAATTTGTCACTTTATATATGCAACATGATTGTTTTATATCTAATCTATTTTCTTTTAAGTTATGACTACCCGTTTATTTTTTTTTGCAGGGAACACAATTCATGGATGATGATATGTTTTCATGACCAGTTGATTATGTCAAGACATGATGTGTTTTTTTTTGTTTTTTGCTTTGCTTCTAGAGTGATAGCATAACACTAAAAACTTGTTGGTGTTAGTTTTTGGGTACAATGTTGTGGAAGCTCATACACAATGCATGTTTTTCAATTTGAAGTATTTAAGTAATAGAAGTCAGTTTGAATGTTTAGTGACTACATATTTTAGTATGAATGTTCAAATAAAATCGTTTGGGCACATCATATTAAATATATTATTATTCTATATTGAGTTGTCTTGTGAAATCAATGAGTTTATATGATGTTATAAATGTTTTTAATTGTATATTAAATTATTTTATGAAGTAAAACATTTATACGCAGATAACAATAAATGTTATCATGTTTGATATGGTTATTATTATTATTATTATTATTATTATTATTATTATTATTATAAGAAACAACATGGTACACATGCTCACAATGGCAACAATTATGGATTGTTAAATATTAGACAACAAATTCATAGTGTCACCATATTACAACATTTATGATCTGTTGCCTAAGAAAAACCGTTGCCTTAGGTGCATCTAAGCTCATTTTTATAAACTGTTGCCTTTTGTATCAAAACTGTTGCCTTAAGAAAAGACAACAAGGGCAAATGCAACATTTAATTTTTGTTGCCTTAGATGTAAGGCAACAATTTTTTTATTTTCAGCAACAATTTTTAAATGTTAGCATAGACTATTTTTCTTGTAGTGTGGTTAACATGAAATGTTCGAGCCTTAGATATGGAACAATTTTTGTTGATATTTTTTTTGGATATCTGAAGAATATGATTAGATTGAATCGATCCAAATGAACACCGCAATATCTAAGGTATCTTCGGTTGTATCAATTTTCAGGTACGAGCAACTATTTGACAAAACAACAAAACTGAGACGGCGAGGTAAAACAAAATAATCAGCAAAGGGAAAATAATCAGTGAAGGGAAACAGTGCGATCCAAGGAACAAATCTGACCTAGCAGAAAGGTTTTTTACTGTGATGGTGAGATCTGATCTGGACGACGATAAGAAGAATTAAAACACAATGATACACATCGGTATAGAAGGGACGATTATGATAATGATGAATATGAAATTGGTGGAGAGAGTGGAACATATTTGGGGGTGGTATGAACACTCAACATACTTGGAATGAAAGCTACGTTGTTTCAGAATAAACATCATGTTGTTTTGGAATGAATACTACTTTCTTCACCCCGTTTTAAATTGCCTATTTTGACTTTTGGCATATTTAAAGAAGAGAAAAAATAGAGTTTATTTTCCGAAATTGTCATTATTTTTTAGGAGGGGTGACGATGAATGAGAAGATAAGGTGAAGAAGAGTGTCTTATTTTAGGAGTAGTTTATGTATTTTTACTCTTAAAAGTTTACGATAACAAGTAACATGTAACTTATTTTGAAAGGAAGAAAAAGAGCAAACATGCAATTTAAGATAAGACAGAGAGAGTATATTATTTTAGAATGAATAGTACTCTACACTGAACATGACTGGAATGAATACTACGTTATTTAAGAATGAATATTGCATTATTTTTAAATCAAATTAAAATGTAACAAACAAATATGTGAAATAAATAGTACCTTACCGCAGAATGAATACTACATTTATTCAAAATGAACATTTACTGGATATATCTGACTCTAGGTACATGACTACATCTCTATGATTAAAAACTAGTTTTTTTCTTGAAGTTTTGTACGGGAAAAGGAGAAGAAAAAGAGAGCATTTACTCATGAGATGTTGTTTCCTTGTAGGGGTGGACACGGTACGGTTCCGGGACGGTTCCGGTACCGCCACCCCTTGGTACCGGTACCGGTACCGGACCGGCCGGTATCGGTTCCGGTTCCGGTACCGTTTCCGGTACCGTTTCCGGTACCGTTTCCGGTACCGTTTCAGCCACCCCTAATTTTGTTTTTTTTTTTTTTTTGCTTTTTTATTATATTTTTAAAATGTAAAATTGTAAATGTGTAATTGTTAAAGGAAATGATGAAATAAAAAAATCTAAAAATGAAATTGATAAAGGAAAGAATGGAATAAAAAAATAAAAATAAAAAAAAACGGTAACGGTACCGGAACCGAAACCGGAACCGCCGGTGCCGGTACCGAAAAATGGGCACCGGAACCGGTTCCCGGAACTGGTGGACCGTACCGGCCGACGGTAACGGTACCGGAACCGGCGGTACCGTTTCCGGTACCGGTACTGTACCGGTACCGTGTCCATCCCTATTTCCTTGTGCTCCAAACAAGCTTTAAACTCCAGCCCGGACCCGGCCCATGTGCTGCCCTAGAGCATCCCAGAGAGCAGCTTTCGGCCCAACGAAAAGCCAACTCAATATCTGGGCCGCTTAAGCATTCGATCCAACGGTCTATTCAAAACCCTAGTTTCGCCTGACGTCCCGAACTTCGTTTATAAGCTGCCGAGGGCTCATTTCATTTTGCTCTTCACACTTTCAATCTCTCTCTCTCGAAGCCGCTACTCTGCATCTGTGCCGAAGAAGAGGTTAGTCCCTTACGCACTTCTCTTTAATCTATGATTATTGATTGTTATCTATTCTTCCGAAATTTCAATTTGTTATTATGTTCGGCTCTTCTCTTTGATGTTTGTTAATTGATCATCAAGTGTTCGATATTCATTTCTAATTTCTTATTATCAGCATGCCGTGGATTCTGATGAATTCATGACTTGATTCGATGTGATTTCAATTTTATTTATTTTTAGGACTGTAGGCTATTGCCAGTTTTTCTATGTTAATATCGTTATCTTTTGAGAAAAATAGATCGACTTGAAAAATAGATCGATCCGATATTTGACTTTTCGGATCTAACTACATCGGTTGATTATGTTTGGCGAGATGGCTATGATAAGATCTAATCGAATATACTGACGTTAGAGTTCTGCATATCAATCGTGTTTGTGTAGATGTTTGTTCACGTCTTTCATTTTACATTTTCTCAAATGTCTGTCTCATGAGGCAATCAATGATTTTTTTGTTGTATTTTCTGATTTCCGTGCGTCTAGATCTGTTTGTAAGCATCATGTGTATGCTTACCTTTTGGTTTAGATTTGTGTTGAGAGTTTAATTTTGGTTCAATGTGATCGATGGTTCTTTTCAAATCTCCATCTTAATCGCTTCTATACTTATGCTGCTAATTATTCAAGACATTGTACTCTAAAATATGAATTGGAACTATTTTTAGCAGCAATTTTTTTCATAAAATTAGAAGTTTACGTCCCACGATCAATGCAATAAAAATGATTTCCCATACAATATCCCTCTACCACAATACAGGTTCCTGTATGAATGCAAAACCCTCAAATTCTCTCAAAACAGTAATACCTTTCCAAAAAATATTATTAACTTCAATGTATTAGTGTTATTCTAATTTTTAGTTGGTGATGTGCTTTTATTTGGAAGTTGTGAATGCTAACCCATTTCATTGTGTAATCCTCTGTTTCTGCTGCAGTTATCTGTAGTTATCAACCATGGGTAAAGAGAAGACACATATAAACATTGTGGTTATTGGCCATGTCGACTCTGGGAAGTCTACTACCACAGGACACTTGATCTACAAGCTTGGAGGAATTGACAAGCGTGTGATTGAGAGGTTCGAGAAGGAAGCTGCTGAGATGAACAAGAGGTCATTCAAGTATGCCTGGGTTCTTGACAAGCTGAAGGCGGAGCGTGAGCGTGGTATCACCATTGATATTGCGTTGTGGAAGTTTGAGACCACAAAGTATTACTGCACAGTTATTGATGCTCCCGGACATCGTGACTTTATTAAGAACATGATCACTGGAACCTCTCAGGCTGATTGTGCTGTTCTCATCATTGACTCTACCACTGGAGGTTTTGAAGCAGGTATTTCCAAGGATGGTCAGACTCGGGAGCATGCTTTGCTGGCCTTTACTCTTGGTGTGAAGCAAATGATTTGCTGCTGCAACAAGGTTTGTTGTTATGACCCACTGTTTGTTTTCAGTCTTAGTCTTGATGTATTTAATATGAACCTAGTTTGTTTACCCAAGTATTTGATATGAACCTTGTTTGTTTCCCTTTGTGATGTCTGACAGATGGATGCCACTACCCCCAAATACTCCAAGGCCAGATATGATGAAATTGTGAAGGAGGTGTCTTCATACCTGAAGAAGGTTGGGTACAACCCTGATAAAGTTCCCTTTGTCCCCATCTCTGGATTTGAGGGAGACAACATGATTGAGAGGTCAACCAACCTTGACTGGTACAAGGGCCCAACACTTCTGGAAGCTCTTGATCAGATCAATGAGCCAAAGAGGCCTTCTGACAAGCCACTCCGTCTCCCACTTCAGGATGTTTACAAGATTGGTGGTATTGGAACTGTCCCTGTTGGACGTGTTGAGACTGGTGTTATCAAGCCTGGTATGGTTGTGACCTTTGCCCCTTCTGGCTTGACAACTGAAGTTAAGTCTGTTGAGATGCACCACGAGGCTCTGACTGAAGCACTCCCTGGAGACAATGTTGGGTTTAACGTGAAGAATGTTGCTGTGAAGGATCTGAAGCGTGGGTATGTTGCCTCCAACTCCAAAGATGATCCTGCCAAGGAAGCTGCCAATTTCACCTCCCAGGTCATCATCATGAACCATCCTGGTCAGATTGGAAATGGATATGCCCCTGTGCTCGATTGCCACACATCCCACATTGCTGTCAAGTTTGCTGAGCTTGTCACCAAGATTGACCGAAGGTCTGGCAAGGAGCTCGAGAAGGAGCCGAAGTTCCTCAAAAATGGTGACGCTGGTTTTGTTAAGATGATTCCCACCAAGCCAATGGTTGTCGAGACCTTCGCTGAGTACCCGCCGCTTGGTCGGTTTGCCGTGAGGGACATGCGTCAAACAGTTGCTGTTGGTGTCATCAAAGCTGTGGAGAAGAAGGACCCGACAGGAGCAAAAGTCACCAAAGCTGCCCAGAAGAAGAAATGAGCAATTGTTTCCGACCTCTAGTAGTTCTTCCTACATGGAAGGGCTACTATTATCACCTATTATCCGCTTTATGTTTCTTGAATTTAGTTTTGAACATTTTACCAGTTTTGAAAATGGCCCCGGAGGATTCTTCCATTGCGGTTCTCTAGCCTCCATGTGAGGATAGTGGAGGAATCGAGCAATCTGTTTTGTCTCTGCAATCATCACAGATTGCTTGGTGCCAGTTATGGAAGCTCTTCCTTTGGAAGCCGTCTCGCATTTTATGTTGATGAGAGGGTGTACTTTTGGGTGAACGCTCTATTATTTTCTGCAACTTTTTTCAGTCAATTTTCTGTGTCTGTTTTCCTTGCATTTGCTGGTTCTTTCCTCACATGACAAATGTGGTTGGCTTGTTTTTTCTGAGATTTTGAGGTGTGGTCTTTGTTTTATGACTTGCTGTGCTTAGCTAGTCTTGGAACTTTCTGTTCATGACTTCACGTAGCTAGTCTTAGGGGCTGTTTGTTTCAGTCTGATTCAGATGTCTGAATGGTTCAGCACTTAATGGTTCAGATTGTAATGGTTCAGATGTCTGAATGGTTAAGAGATTTGCCTTTGAATGGTTAAGTATTATACAGAGTCTGAATGGTTAAGACCTCTTATATGAATTGATCAGACATTTGACTCTGAATAGTTAAGCAATAAACTAGCTCTTAATGGTTCAGACCTCTTACTGGTTCAGCACTTAATGGCCTCTTACTGGTTCAGACCTCTTACTGGTTCAGAAGTTGCCAAACAGCCCCTTAGGCGTTTTAGCAGATTGTCTTGAAGCTTATACACCGTTGTTCTTAGGCGTTTTAGTGAATTAGTGTTTTTTTAATAGTGGCAATCAAACAGAAGTATAAGTTGACACCCAAAGAGAACGAACTACTAACGAACAAGAAAGAAGGAAAAGATTGAACATAGGAAGTTCAAAGTTGAAACAACCATAAAAGCTTTAAACTAGTCTGTAAGGGAACGGAAGATGAAATGGCAAAAACATGTCCACGCGACCTTCTTGGCATCATCATATCATCTTGAGCACCTGTTGCACTGATGGGGAGGCGGTGGCCGGGGGCAAGATGGTACTTTCACTTTGAGCTTCAAGAATACCGTCGAGCTTCTCCTTGCTCAACCCGCCAAGAGCGGTGGCCAACTCCTTCCCTTTCAACAGCTGCAGCACCGACCCTTGGCCCGCCAGGAATTGCGGCCCGTTGTCTCGGGCTGACGTTGTGAAGCCGAAGAACATGAATGGGCCGTTCCTCGATGCGATCTGGCAGAAGGGGAAGAACCGCGGCACCAGGAACACGTCTCCTTCCTCCACTTGGGCTTTCATGGCCAATGTCCCGTTTGGGAACACTATTTGTACCTCTCCTGTCCCTCTCAGCACGACCCCGTACTCGCTCGCTCTTGGGTTTATGTGTGGCGCCATCATCGATCCCTACAGTCATTTCCACCTTGTGAGTTGTGATTGAATGTTACAGAGTAATCCCTCCAAGCTCATATTTTCAAGTGTTTTTTTTAAACATCAGAATACCAACACAATGTGTTGATAAAAACTCAGGTTTTAAACTCTCTTGAGAGATTCTAACGCTAATAAATGTTGCCAAGGTGTAGAGATGGATGACATACCGCGGTTAGATTGACGAGGTAAACACTGATGTCGGGGAGCTTGAGAGACGAGTAATCATCTCCACCAACAGCTAGACTCCATCCGTAGTCATTGCTGAAGTCCGGTTCGGCTTCGAAGATATTGTATGATTCGGGAGCCTCCCCGCTCCCACTTTCTTCCTTGTTGCTAAAGGGACCCAACATCATCTTTGTCATCACCAATGCCTTCTTGAAAGGCCATCGCCAGCTGCGCTCGTTGTCGTCATCTTCACGACCAACACCCGCGAACCTCTTCAATCGAGCCAGTCTCTCTTCCTGTTTCAGGTTCATGAAACAGTCCCACGCATCCGAGGATTGCGAGTGTTTCGACAATGGCACGATTGGACCGGACATATTTGCCCTTAGAAGTTTCGTGAGATCTGTCCCCGACTATCTACTATATATACATAGTTAATTTGGAAATCATAGACTACACAATGAAAGCTAAAGATGACGACTCACATTGAATGCAGTTGATAGCGTCTTCAAATCAAACCCAGAAAGGACAGAGGTTGGATGTGCTCCGCCACCGATGAAGTAAGGCTGAAAAACACACCTTAATTTAAGGCCGATTCTCTACAATATTGTTACAATATAACATTTTGGCATCATAACACAGATTGGATTATGTATAGTTCAATTTCGGTTTGTGCAATTTGGTCAGAAAAGACGTGTTGAGTTGTCTCATCCCACATCGGCTTAACATGCCAATATTGTGACACATGTAATAACTTGGGTTCCTCAATTTCTTGAGTTAACTTTTGGGGTTGAATTGAGTCCAAGTCTATTATTTAACAAAACGTAACATTCTTTAAGTGGCTCCTTCTAAAGGTTTGAAGTTTTTAACCTAGCTCGATATTGAACCTTATTGCGCCAAGATATGTGAGAATTTCTTGTGTTGAGGATTGAAGTCGAGTTCAACTCGTTTGGCGAACCGATCAAGAACCAAACCAAGCTTGAACTAAACCCAAAATGCCCATCATATGACTACAACTTACCATATTCTTCAAATAAGCGTTGCCTCATGTACAACTTGTTTTCGTACTTGAAGATGTCCCATACTCATTCCCACATTTTGGACCCCGTGTATTTGTCTCCGTTTCGGTGTAACATAGACTAGCAAGGCGGTTCCCATTCATGGTTCAAAAAGTGTTCCATAAAGAGTAAAAAATAGCGTGTTAACCTGGAAAGAACGGGAGGGGAGGGAGTGATCGGAGCTCCTAACAATGCTGCAAATGACACGGAGTCGTTGGCCCTCGGCGGTGTTCACCAAATAGAAAGCGGAGCCCGCTTCGATGGTGTAGATATCGCCGGACTTCAACTCCTTTTCCACCAACTCATCCTTGTAAACATGCCCTATTCTTGCTTCCCCTGCAACGTCATCATACAAATTAAATTCCACTTTTGACAAAATTAGATTCTTGTTCAAAAATCAATAAATATACTCCTTAATTAGCTTCCACCCCCAAATTAAATTCATGGATTAATGAATTCACTGAGTAAATTAGGAGTTGAAATTACAAACCTCCCCCAATTTTAAATAAGAACGTTGAAAATTACAAATTTTATTTAAAGATGAATAATAAAAATTGTGAATTTATCTTGGAAATGGAAAGAATGACTTTTTTCCCGTTCAATTTTATGTGTGGACAGAGACTTAAGAGTTTCAATTGACTTATAACAAATCTCAATCATGCACATCGTTTAACATTTTTCTAAATAGTAATTCTACAAATTGTCTTTCCTAAAAGGTGACTTCCCATATAAACTCCAATCTTAAAATATTACCTTAGTTATCCTTTATATATGAAAATCATTCTCTTAATTCTATAAAAAATCCACTATTATAAAAAAGAAAGCTATAGTGGATCGTGTAGGAGAGAGAAAGAGAGAGAAGAGAGAATAGTTTAAACACTTTTAAAATTAATGATAATGGGATGGATATTAATTAATAGTCTTCGTCCCATAATTACAACTAACGACTTGACTGAATTTATACTTTATAAAATTAGTATAGAAATAAAAATTAGAGTACATTTATATATTCAATTCCATCAGTCATAGAATTATGGTCGCAGTTACTATTATGAGATCTCCATAAATAACCATTATTTGTATTTTTAGTTGATAATTTGATAAAATAAAATATTCTTGTAATCATTTGTTTTGTAGAACGTACTTTTGATTAATAAAGTACGGTTTTATTCATTGGGCAGGCCCGGTTTCATAATAATACTTCCTCTATCCCATTAATATTTTTATGTATTGGGCAGGCCCGGTTTCATGCCATGGAGGCAAGGACGGGTCTGAGTAATAATCGGGCCAAAGAAAGCCCAGCTTATGGACTTGAATTGGGCCGTGACCTAGATTAGAATATAAGTCGTGGGTAGCTAACAACTGATTATCCGCCCACAGTTGGCACACGTCAAGCTAATCAGCATGCCGAGAAAGAGGGGCACGATTATATGCCATATACGTTGCGAAATTAGACTATAAAGAGGGGATTGAATTTTCATTGTAATGAAAGCTACATCAAGCTAATACAATCCTTATTGAGATCATATTTTCTGAGAGCACTTTGAAAAAATGTAAGATTTAAAGAGTGTGTAATTTGGATGTTATTTTTCAATTTTGCTCTTAGTTTAGGATATAATAGGATGTAATGTGTACATTAATAATGAATAGATATGATGAGATAGGTAGATAAATACTTGATAGGAGTAAAATGGAGATTTTGGTTGAAACTGGTACTCCCGTTCTAATTTCTATTCAAAATGTTAAACTTTAACCATGTTTTGACCTATTTTGCCATCCATTTGAGAAATATATAATATAATTTTTTATCTATTGTTTTCTAAAACTTTTGATGTAGTTTTTAAGTATATCAATTTATTTTTTACTCCCTCCGTCCTATATGAATCTTTCTGGTCTGCGTTACGATGCTTGACCAACTTTATTTTCAATCCAATTCATTTAATTGTAGGTGTAAAATTAAAAATAAAAATGTATATTTAAAAACTACATCAAAAGATTTACAAAACTAGATGTGACATGAATATTTTATTTTATCAAATGAGTAACAAAAATTAAGAAAAAAAGTGTATAAAGTGTGACCATGCGAATATTGTATGTAGGGAATCAAGAATAGCATATGCAAATAAATTTAGTCAAACCTCGTAAATAACAACATGCTTTTTGAGACCGAAGGAGTAATATTTTTTGGAATGAATGGAAAATGAAAGTGGTAAGGTTTTTCGAAACGGAGAGAAAGTATATATTATAAAAATATAATATTTCAAAATTATGTTTCAAAATAAATTTATTAATTTTAAATTTATATTAAAATTCAATTAATTTATTTTTTACGTAACTTGTTTTCAAAGTTTTTTAAACTGTTCAACAAAAAAGTCAAATGAAAAGACAAAAAGAAGATAGAGGGAGTATAGCAGGCAAACCTAGCGAGTCTAACAGCTAAACCTCTTTCAAGAGTTGTTCTTTTATGGTCGATCTTAAAGTCCACTTAAAAAATGTAAATCTTCTCACATTTTTTTTTCATGGAATGATACATGTATCTTATTTTGTGTGTAAAATTAATTCTTTTATGATATCAATACATTAATTAAGATCTATAAAATGGATATAAAGCATCTAAGAATTTGTTCTCATTCAATTCCGAGATAAAATTGCACACTATATGGCATGTCTATATATCCTCTGCATAACTTACCTACGTGTTTTTTTTGTTGTTGTTTTGAAATCCCTAATCTCCATGAAAACATACAAATTAAGAGCTCAATGGGGGAAAACCAGAGTAATATTTTCATAATATATGCATAAGGACTAAGGAGTCGGAGTATTAAATATTGATATTAATTATCAAAATATTGAAATGGAAACCGTTTAAAGTCAAATGAGAAAGAAATGTATGGACGAAGGGAATATATATAAATAATTACCTAAGGGAAGGAAGAGGACGAGGTGGGAATCAAGAAAGTGAGGGAGGAGCAAGCTTTTAGGCTCCATAGTGATGAACCCGATGTCCATCGCCTTCTTCTCGCCGCCTCTCACCACTCTGATGACTCCCGCCTCCGTTCTTGCCGCCTCTTCCTCCTCCCGCAAAACGAACGCCGCCTCTTTATCTTTGTTCCTCCCCCCACCGCCACCCGTCCCCGCCGCCGCCGCCGCCGCAGCAGAACCACCCAAGAGTAGCAGTAGAGACAGCAACAACAAGAGGTGATTCTTGGTATCCATAACAACAATAATCTGCTTCTTCTTCCCCATCATTTAATTTTTCCCTTTAATAATTCAATATTCTTATGATGATTAACAATACGTGTTATGAGTTCTCGAGGATTGATCTCTAAATCATATATATTCTGAGCTGGGACGGTGGGTGCGTGGGGGGTGAGGTTTCACTAAATAATACTCCTTCCGTCCACAAATACTTTTTCCATTTGACTTTTTAACTACACTTTGACCATTAATATCTATATTTAGATAGATATATTTTGTAAAATTTGATATTTTAAAATTACATTTTATTAAGATCGATACTAAATTTATATCATAATACAATATACTTTTTCTACCGGTCAAAATTTAGGAATAGTTAGAGGGAGGGAGTACTAGAATAGCTAGGGAGAGAAGTGAGTGAGTAGAAGTTGGAAGGGGAGACAGGTGGAAGCCATGCATGCAATGCTAGTCCATCTCTGCATGCACGTCACGAAGCAACTTAGCATTTACTCCGTCCTCATCTTTGGAGTTTGGGGTAGGTTGTCAAAACTTCAAAAGTTTCTAATTTTTAGAGTAAATTTCATAAAAGGTCCTAGTCATATATAGATCATTTTACATATTTAGTCCCTTATATCAAATATTACTAATTTAGTCCCTAATTATTATATGCATTTCCACGAATGGTCTTTTGTTAACATTTTTGTTAAGAATGTGAATAAAATTGTAAATTCAGACTTCTTTCTCTCATCAATTAATCTTCTTCCCTCCCCTCGCACTCCTTTTCCAAACCCGTCGCTGAGTTTGAAACTTTGAAACCAAAACCGAAATTATCACTCTTCTCTCAATTGTTTGTCGAACTGGTGGAACCCAAATTCGAAACCAGTAACCTTCATGGATGAGTTTTAATGTTTATTTTCTTTGCAATTTCTTGAGACTAACCGATAAAACTCATCCATAAAGCTTATTGGTTTTGATTTTAGGTTCCACCAGGAAGACTACTAATTGAGAGAGCAGTGATCATTTCAGTTTTGGATTTAGAGCTTCAAACTCAGCGACAAATTTGAGAAAGAGTACGAGAGTACGAGCTTAATTGAGTAGAGAGAGAAGTATGAATATACAATTTTATCTATGTTCTTAACAAAAACGTTAACAAAGGATCATTGGGACTAAATTAGTAATATTTGATAGGGACTAAATATGTAAAACGACCTATAATTGGGGACCTTTCATGGAAATTACTCTAACTTTTATTATAAAATATAAAAAAACATAATAAATTATAGTGTAAATTTAATATCAATAAATTTATTTTGAAATAAACTTTTAAAAAAGTACTATATTTTAAAAATATTAAATAATATTTAAAAAAAGATGTTAATAATCAAAGTAACACATTGGAGACGGTGTAAGAGAAAAAGAAAAAACTTCGTATTTTTCTTCGTTTTGCGCAATGGGAAGAAAGTTTTAGGACGGAGGGAGTATTAGATATTAATACAACAACAATTTTATTAGATTCATATTATAGAATATTTTTAAAATATTATTTTATCTAATTCATACATAATATATATTTTATTTAATTATAGGTCAAAACTTGAAAAACATTAACTATTGTTGGATGATATATTTATTTAATAATAACTCTGGACTAGTTTATTTGTAATTAAAGCATGTTCTTTAGAACTGGAAAAAAAGAGCTGGATGTTGAAAAAAACTAGAAAAACTGGAAGGAATTTAAAAAAACTAGAAGACATTGAAAAAACTAAAAGAAACTGAATGAAATGCAAATAAAATTGAAAAAACTAAAAAAATGCAAATAAAAAAACTTTTAAAAACATTTTGTGTATATTTTTATATTATTTTCATTTAATTCTTGTTGTTATAAATAATAATAATAATTTTTAATATTATTATTATTTTAATATTAATATTATCATCATCATCATCATCATCATAATCACCTTGTTTTGATATTTATGTGATTCAACAGTGATTTTCTCAAATTACCCTTGATATGATGAATAAAAATAAGATGCAAATTCTTCCGCGAATCTAAAGTCTATATTAATTTTAGAGTAAATTCCATAAAAGGTCCCCGATTATATGTTGTTTTACATATTTAGTCCCTACATATCAAATATTACTAATTTAGTCCCTTCAATTATTATTTTCATTTCCACGAATGGTCCTTTGTTAACATTTCCGTTAAGAACGTAGATAAAATTATAAATTCACACTCCTTTCTCTCCTCAATTAAGCTTTCTCCCTCTCCTCACACTCCTTTCCCAAAGCCATCGATGAGTTTGAAGCTTTGAACTCAAAACTGAAATCATCACTCTTCTCTCAATTGCTTATCTAACTGGTGGAACCCAAATTCGAAATCACTAACCTTCATGGATGAGTTTTAATGTTTATTTTTTGCAATTTATTAAGACTAACCGATAAAACTATTCCATAGAGCTTATTATTTTTGGTTTTAAGTTTCACCATGAAGACTAATAATTGAAGAGGAATAATCATTTCAGTTTTGGGTTTAGAGCTTTAAACTTAGCGATGAGTTTGGGAAAATGTACGAAAGAAGGGAGCAAACTTAATTGAGGAGAGAGAAAATATGAATATACAATTTTATCCATGTTTCTTAACAAAGGACCATTCGTGAAAAAGATATAATAATTGGAGACTAAATTAGTAATATTTGATATGTAGAGAAGAAATATGTAAAACAGTCTATAACTAAGAACCTTTTATAGAATTTACTCTTAATTTTATAGAATTTAGTTTATTTATGGCATAAAAAAGCAAGTCTTTTACAATAGAAAAAATATCCACATGCAAGGTAAACTTTGAGACCATGTAAACATCACACAAAATAAGAAGTGATGATAACTTATTAGTTAGGATAAGAAATAATAGAGATAAAAATAAATTTTAAATAAAAATGGAAAAATAAATTTTGGAACAAGGAAAAAAAGACTTTTTAGAACCCAATATTTTGAGATCAAGATGGGTGATTAATATGACGCCATAAGAGCAACTCCAGCGCATGGTTTAAAAAATTATCAGCTAAATGTTAAAGTATATGATTAACAGTGTTATAGCAATTGATTTTTATTCTCACACTCCAATGGGATCATGCATATTTCTATATTTTATTGGTTGTTTTACTTTTCATTTCTCTCTCCTTAAACGTGTTTCCACTTCCTTGATTACAATTGGACCCCATTACACTGAATCACCTATTGTATCCCATTATTTTATAATTTTTAATAATAGAAGACCAACAGTGAACTTCTATTTATGAAAGATGGAGTCTGACAAATAGCTTGCCCTCCAAATTATGGATTACCCGTTGGAGCACATAAAGGGCTTCAAAAAGCTACAGTGTCAGTTATTAAATATTTTTTAGCTGGTTTAAATGATGCATTGGAGATGCTCTAACTCATAAGAGAACACTTTAAAATGTAAAAAAAAAAAAACTACCTTGTGGTGACACTAGAAAACATGAGGACCTTGGCGATTTTTAAGGAAACATGAGAACCTATGTCTTAACGAGAAATCTAGCGTCATCTCTATTCTCTAAGTAGTTTTTTTTTTTTTGTAAAAACGTAAAAAAGGATGCCAATGAAATATGGAAGGACAAAGATACTACCTCTATGAAGTCAAGAATGTGTTCGGTAGAAAGGGCTTTTTTACAAGACTGATATATTCACTCATTCATTGCCTACCCTACACTAACTCTCATTAAATCCCTCCACCAAAGACCCAAAACTTAACCCAGCATGCATCCTTTATTACTACTACTCACGTCAGAAGAATTATTTTCGGTTCATGACAAAACATACAAAAGTTTACCCCCTCAAGTGAAGAACTGCACGACCCCATAGACGGTGACGGGTGGGTTAATTTCAACACGCTTGGCCTCTCCCGCCTCAAGCAAAAGAGGTAGTGACTTGGCCTCCACGGGTGCCACCCCATTGAGGGTCCACAACGTGACGTGGGCCCATTCGTTCTTCGAGCAAATCTTTTCACCATCAATGGAACCGATGGAGGCTTCAAGTGCAGCCACCCTTTCTGAGAATAACAGTGCAGTCATTTCCACGGGCACTTGTTGGTCCACAAAGGGAGCGTAGCTTGCAAGAGCCGAAACACTGTGGCTTCCCTTGTGAGCAAGGGTCACGTGGGCCCTTTGAAGCCGGCTTTCCAACTTTTTGTCTTTCAGAAATGCTTGAGCTTTTGAATCCTTCTTACTCACCTGTCCAAACAGTAGTTCATTATGTTAGGGTATCCGGTTAAGTTTTATGCTAATGATGGTGAAATGTAGAATAATAAACTTTTAACGCGCTACGCAATTGGTACTTGGTTGAAGGCCGAGTAGCAATAGAACCGATTACTCATAGTAAATTTTTAAACATATTCTTATGTTCCATACATTTCTAATATAAATAATAATATTACTTGTAGAAAGATTAATATTATTCTGAAGATCCAGTCATCCAAATCAACAAACCCAGCCCAAAAATGAGAACAAAAATAAGATGTGCAAAAACCTGTTTTGGGTCATATTATGTTGTGTGGAGTACTTGTGTTTTAAAATAAGAGCTAAATTTTCCTCAAAAAAAAGGAGCTAAATTTGATTTTTAATAGCCACTTTCATAACACTTTGACTATTAAAATACATATTTATACAATATACATTCAAATAATTCATTTTAGAAATATCAAATAATGAAAAAAATGAACAGAGAACAATATTAATTTTGGGGCCCTGTGCGGATGCACACCCTCCGGGTCGCCCCTACAAATCAAAGTCTAAGAGCCATTTTGGCAAGTGTTATTCAGTTGGTATGACTGGTTGAATTGGCTGAATTTTCTGAATGAAAAAGAATTTGGCAACTCTCATTTCAACAAAAAAGTCAAATTACTATGCAGAAGAAGCCATTTTTGGCTGCCAAACGGACTCCAAGCGTCGAACTACTTATATTCTAGGTTATAAAAAAACCTAATTCCTAACATCTTTAGTTCAAGAAATGTATAATCTCAAATCATACACCCCCATAAACTTTCTTATTACTTTTTTTTTAAGTTTTGGAAACACAGGGAAATGTAAAAAGAGGGGAGAAAACGACTTACATTATCTAGAAGCCTTTTAATATCCGTAACAGGCAACCTGATGGCAGCAAACACTATTGTTCCAAGCTTCCGTTTTTGAATTAGTGGTGCCCCACCCTTAGCAATAGACCTCAGTTGATCCAATACCTGTTTCACAACTTCTTCAAAAGGCACCTGCAAAATACAGTATTATTACACCACACCAATTAAGCAGCAGCAGAACTTTACTGGTGGAAAGAGCATATGATCATTTTCATGCCAATATTACAGTTTCCGGAAATAGTGGGAGAAACCCAATGGAAATCCCCCCCCTGTTGGAATATAATTTGGAGGAAGAACGCAGCGGAGCAGCGTTAACAAAGAATGAGAAAAATAACTTGATAGAGTATAACGAATCACGTAGAACGCTTTTAGATCAAAGTTATTTCGAGGTATACGAAATACTAATCGGATAAGACGTTAATCAAGAACAAACACTGAAAATCGGATGCCCCAACCATACCTACGAGACTCTATTTATAGACCAGACATGAATGTTTGCGTAAGACGCAAACGTTCGCTCAAGGAGATGAAATCTGAAAAAACACAATAGTTTGCTTAAGGAGACAAACGTTCGCGCGAAAGGACTCTTGCGGTTTTAGGGTTAATTTGGCGTTTATCCACACATCCAAATCTTTTAACATTTTGGACTCCGTTCACGAAAAACTGAAGGATTTTCATAAAGAAATAATGTCCAAGGGGCTCTGCTAGGGGCTGCCGCCCCTTGGACTCTGCTACCCAGGGGCTGCCGCCCCCAGACCCCCGCTATAAATTTGTAATATCGTTGAACAAGTGCCTCCTAACTCGTTTGACAACGTCTATTCAAATTCTTGTCTGATCTAAGTAAACCCAATCACACAAAATAGCCGATGATACTAAAATCACCAACACCCCACCCCCACCCCCCACTCCCCTTGTTTTTTAGAAAAGTGCAAATAATGAAATCATGGTGTAAGTTGTGTAACATCTGCAGCAACCTGTATTGAATTAAGATAATCAGCATTTGCAAATAACACATCTCGTAGCTGTTTCTCCCATTTAGCCCACTCTTTTGCATATGTCCCTTTTGTTGGCTCCAATCTGCCCGAACACAGAAAATAGTTTTATTACGTACTATTTAGATGTCCGTGGGGAAGGGGTTAGTGAAAGTTGATGTAGAGAAGTAAACACTATCAAAATGAATTGATAAACTCATTTCCAAGGATATATAGAATAACACTCATGCAGTATTGTATTCAGTGCGGCAACGCATACAAAAGAGACCTATTTAATTATAGTACAAGACAATTTCTCGCATTAATTAAATTTTAAATTTATCTTAACTGCAATAACATTACTGCCACAAACATTTAGGGGTCTTTTTACGGATGTGGGCTAAAACCCTTATTCTACAAAGTGATTTGCTTGTTTTATAGAAAAATGGAGTCATGGAATGGTTCCTCCTACCACTTTTCATCTGTGCATTATTTGCACATAAGTTATAATGTCTCACTCCTAGTTAATGTGGAGAGGGCATACTATGTTCGGGAGGAAGTATGGTGGAGCCAGATGTACGCTTGTGTTATTACACCACACCAATTACACACCATGGAGAAGTAAACCTACAATCCAAGCCTGTGTTTGGGAACATGTCGGTGGCATGGTCCAGCGGGGCTTCAAATGTGAAACCACATTGGGACTTCTCAAAACCACCTTAACTATTTAATCAATTGTGCACGTAACATAAACTCTGCTCATTCCAAATGCCTTTTGGTTCAAACCGTGTTTGACCACTGTCATACAACACCACCAACAAATCCAATAAAATCCCACAAAAAGTAGGAAATAATCAGCCACTTTAGAATGTAATTAACACAACACATCCACTGGCGCACTCTAATCAGCACACGCAATCAGCCACCTTGCTTCTTTAATGAATTATAGCTTGGACATGTATATAACAATATAAGCATTATAAATCACAGAAAGAAATCAGTGGAAATATAAATATTTCAGTTTAACAATTTGTTGAGCTTTAACAAGAATTTTATTCAAGGGTTAAAGGTTTTGAAACACACAGTAAGGTAGAACTTAGAAAGTCAGGAAAAAGTTAAGGAAGGTCTTGAGCGAATACGTCAAACCAGTACACTTTTATAACTAACATTTGTAATACTAAGGATAGTGCAAGAATGAAAAAAAGAGCAAGAATGAAAGACTCTACCAACTACAAATAACTAAAAGACAAGTATTTTGCTCACCTCCGATGCCTGCTAGAATGAAGATTGTATAACTTCATTCCCTCCTCCAGAATAGACTTCACTGATTGCGGTAAAGGTGGCCTTCACATTGTAGAAGAATGCAAACATTTTTGGAAAACGAACCAAAAGATTAAACCCCAATAGTTGATTATAGAAATGAAATGTGGCGAGCAAAACTCACAAGCCAATACCATGAATAATATTCAGTCATGTAGCTAGAAGTGAAACGAAAACTTTTATATCATGTAAAATCCTCGAGGTACAAAAATTATAAGCAAAAAATCTAAGCACAACCATTTTAATCAGATGCATTATTTTTTTGTTTTATGCAATTTCCAGAACTTCAATCACGCTATATCACTAACAATAACTAAGGTTCTCATTATCGAGAAACTTCTTTTTAGTTATGTTGCCATTTTCCAAAGCACAAGTGATGTGACCCTAATTCAACAGATATAAATAAAATGGATGTCATATGGTTCATACAGAAATCAATACTATTAATTACAATCCCAGGACAAGAAAGCAGGAAGGATGAGACAAAAGTAGGCAAAAAATCTGTTAAATTTGATAGCAGATTTGAGAAGTCATATTTGGTTGGGAACTGAAATATCTTTCATTTCCATGGTTCTGTAGATATCTACTTTCAAATGCCATTTGGATTGTCTTTACTTCGGCTAATACATTTTGTGTCCAGACAACTCATCCCTTTGAAAAACAATTTCGAACCAACAGAAGACACAACAAAAAACACGCGAACAGCAAAAGTGAATAAACACAAACAGATTGAAGATAATTTTAATCACAATGCATAAATGGGAGAATGAGATCATACTGACCTTTCGGGTTTTAGTAAAGGTATTTTGACAAGGGAGCCAAAACGTCCAATAAGATCAGTCTCAAACTCTTCGCGACTCTATAAAAAAAGGACAAATACGTGTGAATACAAATCTGAGACGAAATGCATCGCCTATAACCTAAACAGTTCAGCATCTTTACCTTGCCATCATAAAGATCATAAAACATTAATAATACATAGCCGGCATTTGGAGACGACTTGTCAAGATTTCCCTGTGAGACAAAAAAACTAGAGTTACCAACCAACGAATCCAGTAGGGTAGAATGCTATATAAAAAGGCAGAGTAACATACTGGATGATTAACACGATGTAGTACTCGAAATATGAAAACAGCTAGAGCATCAAGCGAAAATGGATTTCTTTCAGTTCCTGCATGTTTGTAAAATTAAGATTCAGAAACTACACCTGTTTTAAATCCATACAGATTCAACCTAAGTCTGCTACCTTTACAAACAAAAAGTAAAAAAAGGGAAAGAAAATTTGTGGCCAACATAAACTCGTGCAAGGACACATGATACACACTGGAGTAGAAAACATTACAATATGCAGCACTGCTGATCAAGTCATATACTCTTTTACTTCTGTTTTGCTTCATTATTCCATATTTCCATTACTTCAGTTTAATATAATGATTTGCAGTACACAAATTGTTTGATCGAACTAACTGGCTTTCATTGATCTCATAGCATACTAAGAGGTGCACAATGACAATCTAGAAAGACAGATGATGACACCAGAGACATTTTGAATGAAATAATGATCTACTCCGTACTAAGTTAAAAAATGGAGAACTTCTGGAGAAATAAATAATGTAGCAAATGAAACACTGGAGGCATTTGGGAATTAAAAAAAGATACAGCAAATGAAACATTAGAGACAACATGAAGAACTGACAATTAAGCAAATACAAGCAAGAGACATTTTGAAGGAAAACATAACAATATACTCCATAGTCCCATAACGATATACTGGCACCCGTAGTGATATTGCAAAGTGGCATTGTACAATTGCCCAAGTACAGACTAAACAATCATAGCAGTATTGAAAAGAAAACACGTTTACAGAAGCCACAAGTGCATGGAAATCTTGCTACGGAACTTAGAAAAAATAATACGATATTACCGAAAAAGAAAACAAAAAACAATTTACGAACCTTCGGACTCGGGCACAACTGGAACTGCAGATGCTTTGGTGCTTTGACACATGTCCTCAATCTGCAGAAATGAATGCAGATTGACATCACCAAATTAACACATATCGTGTATTCAAGCAGAAAATATAAGATAAGAAGTTCAGGTTCAATATCAAAATGCACAATACTGCCCCCTCTATTATAACTAGAGTGAGTAGAGCCTGTCAATAGTTTTAAATTGCACTGTATTCATCTTGTTGAAATTTTATACAGCTATGCAGGTCCAACCCTAGCTACTTTTAAACTTGATTCATACTTTCAAAAAGGACCTCAATTAAATGTGAAATCATTCATTTTTCGCAATATTTTAGACTAAGCGAACTAATATCACACACAACATTATACATTTCGTTATTCAAAATTAAACAAATAAATGGGTAAATCTGGTTTTTATTTTGTTCATATTGATTGTGTGACAATGGAAACTCATGCACAATGTGTAAAATATAATTAATTCTGAACCACGTAAAATGATTAAATATGGTATAACACAAACATTTTGGGTCTATCCAAAATAAAAAAAATGAGACAAACATAGTGGGACGGAGCGAGTATCCAATTGCTAGGATTTTAAACACGTAAGACTCTGGAAAAATATTAAGAACGCTAGAGAAAGTGAGAGGATCACAGAAATGGGGGGAGTATAATATTAATAAAATATAATACCACTTTGCAATATATGTGCGAAACTTTCACCTTTTTTCAACTCACCTTTCATGAAAAGTCCTTTTCTCAAACAGGGGGAGTATAATATTAATAAAATATAACCCCATTAATTAAGTCTAAAATCTCATAACACCCCTCGTGTTGGAGCATGAAGACTACAGATCACAATGCCCAACTAGTAAATTACATAGTTATAGGATCGTTGTCCAAGTGTCATCGGGACAACTTAACAAACAATTTTTTTCAACAGAGACGTCATTCTTTTTTAATCCGCTGAATAATCAATCTTTCCCTCTAGGATGACCACTCATAAAAGCATACAACCTTCAATACTCATCATTGGCAGCTGAGGTATGCTATAGTTGAATGCAAAAAAACTCAAGATAGAATTACATTTATGGACAAACAAACAAGCAATTTGGCTTCAAAAAAATTACCTGTTTCCAGACTTCCTCGTTTGGTGCATTCTTGTCAGCAAGTATTATTGAATAAGGTTTTGCCTTCCGTGAATCTGCAACCTTCTGCCAGTATTTACCTGTTGATAATGCTATTAGATAACGAAAATCATCTGAAAACAAGGTTTCACATTTAAGAACAGTAGCAAACTTGTAGCAGAACCTTTCAGGCATTGATATCACTGAAAACTGAAAAACATCATCATCTTGTAGCAAGAAATAAGCAAATAAACATCGCTTTCCAGTAAATGATCTGTGGACTAAAGGATGTTTAGTATTCCTAGGAGAATGATAGGCCTTTTGTGGTGAGTGGTCTCTGTCTATTCAAAGGCCAGTGTGCCTATACTACATGCATGCATCAGCACCATCACTACATCATATTAATCCCAGCTATGTTGGGGTTGGTGTCATAAATTTAAAATTTACTTATTTATTATAACATGAATATTAATGGTCAAAGTGTTGCATTAGACACGGTAAAAGGTCAAATTTAAAATCCCTTTTGGGACCGAGGGAGTATTAATTAGTTATCTAAATTTGGTTTACACCATGAAATATATGTAGACAAGCATAGTGGTCAAAGTTTTGTGTTGAATTGACTTCATGCCGGCATGTGGCAACCTTATTTCAAAGAATAATGAGATGAAATTCTGAAATCATCATCATAGTTTTTCCCACTTTGAATGGAAAAAAAAACTATGAAGATGCAATGAGTTAAGATAGTAGCTATAGTCATGTCTCATTCCCATCACATGATTGATATAATAAAACGAGCATGCACATCATGGTACATGCGCATCTATATCCATGTGTTATAGAAGGAAAATACTGATAGAGCATATTAAAAAAATACTGATAGAGCATACTCCCTCCATTCCTATGTAGCTATCCAGTTCGCTTTTCGAACTTAAAGTTTGAACAATAATATCTCTAAAAAATACATTAGAAAAAAATATTAAAAATAATACATTTAAAGTAATTTCTGATACCAATAATTTGGTATATTTTTTATATTTTAAATCATAGTAAATTTTTATATATAGTTAGTCAAAAGTTTGACACGCAAAGCGAAACACAGTTAAATAGGAATGCAGGGAGTATATTAATTCTATGAAAAAAACTTCAAGTAAACTACTGAACATCCACTAATACCTTTAACAAGATCACCCATTAAACTTCGAATTGGTCGATCATCCCCAAGACCTCCAGGGGCACTCAAAATTTCTTTACAAAGTGCAGATTTAGCACACCCAGGTATTCCTGCAATGCAAGGTCAAAACTGATTAAAATGAAATGATAGCAACTTACACATAAGCACAAGAAGCAAACAAAAGTTTTCCAGTGTTCCGTGCTCCATTTCTGCAAGCTCAGAGCGCATTTCATATGGTCCAGCTTGAGGGGAAGAGTTAAAGTGCAGAAATATATAAAAAATTTCTATTGTGTGAAGAGCAATACTTGTATATTGATATGTTGCAAGATTATTTAAAACAGGGAAGCAGCACAATATACTGCTAAAGTGAAGAGCAGTTGAAAGCCCCTACAAAAACAGTACCTGGAAAAAAAACTATAAGACCTTCATCCTTCATAACAGTATCCTCAGAAATACTATGTCCATGTGACGGAAAACTCTTCTCCTGCTCAAGATCACCTTCTTCATCTCCTCCATCGACAATGGCCAAGAAATCATCAGATTTCACCAAGCTTCCAGCAGATCCAATCAACACCTGGTTTTGTGGGCTACGCTTTGCATACTGTTCTAGGAAAGGCTCAGCTTCACTGAGGTATATGGATGTGGATAGTTGCTTATTCCCATACTTCCTGAGTATGTAGACAGCCCTGGAAGAAGAAATTTACACACGATGGAACAGATCATAAATAAAATTCCAGATAAAACGAGAGGATGTCAACCATTATTACCATTCATCAAGCATCTTGCTGAGTGCTTTTTGCTTTGCTGCTGATGTATTCCATATCTGCATTTGCCTAGAGCCACAGGAAGATTATCCAAATATGACGTTAGAATTCATAAGCATTTGCAGAACTGGTAACAAGTCATTGCTCATACACTACCAAAGAACCCACATTGTTTTGGTGGGATGGTACAATCCATTGTGATTTGCGAGTTGAAGATGGAGCATTTTAATACGTTACAAAGACACTCACCTGAGATAATAGGTCTTGTACGCCACTGGACCCTTCTTAAAGAGAGTTTGCAAGCCATTACGGATCAGAAAAGTTCTCAGCTGCATGGTAAATAAGACCAAGTTTAGAAACAAGCTTTTCAACATGAACACCATGTATTGTCAAATCTAGTGATGCAGATAGAAATTTTTCGTACAAGTGAACATGCTTCCTCTTGTTCCCCCTTAGTTTTTGAGAATTCAATATCAGAAAGCATATATACCTTGTATGTAAGAAATTTCAACTTGACCATCAGATTGGCATCCTCATCAGCTAAGCTATTATTTTCATCATCGCCCTTTACCATATGACTACTTCCTTTTAAAATGCCAGCAGCTATTTCTCCATCAACTTTGAATAAGTTTAGATCCACAAAAAAGCCTAGGAGCAAGAAATTAACCCACTCATGCCAAAATGGTTTAAAAAGTGCTGAAGATAAATTTACCATGAAGTACAGAGTTATTGGAATAATAGAAGAAAACTATAAAGATGCTCACCTCGATACAGTGGCCACAAACCCGGATTTCTCCTGACAAATGTTGATTGTCTTGTTAATAGATAAACAAATGTGTATGTGCACTAAATACTGCAGCAGTTCCATCCTATTCAAGCTAACTAAATTAAGAAAACTAAAGTACAAGCACGGAAGGCTTATGCAGACCTCATCTCTTTCTGATACTGCCTGAAGACAAAATCATTGAACACGTGGATCACCATTTTGAAGTGCAGATTGTCACTTGATACATCATTAATTTTGTGAAAGTTATAGAAGCATTTAAAGGAAACACGCTGGTGTTTTTCCCTCATCAAACGAACAACTTCCTGTTATAAGTGAAAAGGTATACGAACAGTAGTTAAACAGTGGAAGGAAAAGAGGACATAATTTTCCATTTTTTTATTTGAAATGTGAAATTGGTGCATCCAATATCAGTCTCAAAACGGAAATCCTAAAATTAGCAAATCATTGCCAAAAATGTCAACTACTCTAGTCAAACAGTCAAACCTGTAATTTTGCAGTTGAATAATCAGCAGGATGTGCTTTTAAGAACTTTGAAACTACAGATCGGTCAGCAGTTCTTGAATGTGAATCAGATGCTTCATTAGGGAACCAATCTAGATGATCTGGACAAAAAGCGGCACCAACACCATCAAGAAGTGCTTTTATTTGCTGCAGACAGTGTTACAATACATCTTCAGGACATATCACCATAAGAGTAAATTTATCCTCTAGATAATATGCCAGTTGTTACCTGCTTCTCATCCGACCTATTTTCAGCACAAATCTCACGAAGAGTTGGTCCTAAGTCCTGACCAGCTGGATAGTATAAGCAACATTAAGCACATTTGAGACAACAAAAAATAAAACAAGGTAATAAAACATTGAATAATGTTGCTTTGAAAAAACAGGTGTGCACACTGCATAGAAGAATAATCCCATCTATATTTATTTATTATTTGATATTACATGAAGACCTTTTGGGCGATGAATTTAAGCATGACATTTTTTGTCTAACTCGGATACCCATAGACTACGTGGTTGTTGGCTTTCCACATTTCAATTTGGCTAAGATTTCTTTTTTTATTTAACCCAAATATCTGTAGACTGCATGGTTGTTGGCTTTCAATATGTTACAAATGCCATATGTAGTGTTCAAACTTCAAATTGAATTGAAGGTAGTTCAAAAGCACATCCAACCAGTGACATGGAACTGCCAATTGCAGGCAAGGCAAACAATATTCATAAACACTGGTTGAATGTTCAGCTTGAGATATAACAAGGGAACAGGTGCCAAGGCGCTAATAACCATGCAAGGCAGGTTAACTCTAAACTTGGGGGCACAGAGAAAACTAGCAGCCTCTATGATTAGTACTCCATGACGAGCTTTCTTCAATTACAGCTATTACTCCAAAGCTTGTGTAGTTGAGTGGGCGACTTTCCTGGGCTTAATAAATTAGTAGTTTACTTATCGTAGGTAAGGAAATGACTAAACATCACACCAAGCATGACTCTGCAATGCCGTGTTTTATTTGGTTTGTACCAGCATGAAATAAAGGTTAAAAGAAACATACACAAATGACCTTTGTCACGTCATAGTCGGTCTATTTTGAAAGCAAGAGAAGTACTTTATCTTTGTCACGCCTCAACCTAAATGACCTTTCTTGCATTATAAATAGAGGCAGCTAGATTACAGATATAGGGGGTATTTCTCTGTGCTGATGTTTGTTAGCTTATTGCCGATAAAAAGTTTTTAACTTATAAGCTGCTTATAAGTTAAATATTCTTTGGTGAAGTAAAAAAAATTAAATGATATATAAGTCATTTGGGAATATTCCTAAATGGCGAGGGATAGTTTTGTACATAGTTGTGAAAAGCGCGCCTGATGTGCACGATGTTCGTGAGGCGCACGCCTTACTGTGCCTCATTGCAATATGCACAGTGTATTGATGCGCAAAAAGGCGCGCCTTGTGAACATATGTTTTTTATTTTTATTTTTGTATTAATTAGGTTTAGGGATTAGCACTATTATTTATTACGACTAACCCCTCCCAACTTTTACGATCCCAAGGAGATTAAACGGCATACCTACCTGGCAAATTAAACGATCGTTTTCTCTTTCTTTTATTTCTTCGATTCAAGTACGACTCTTCCTCCCCAGTCTCGCAAGTCCTTCTCCAGACCGGCACACCTACTGGGCAAGTGGCAGAAGCAGGTTAAGTCGGCTCTCTTCCTTCTTACGATATTTTTTCTCTCTTGCTAGTTTCTCTTCTTTCTACTGGGCAAGTCCTCTGTTTTTCATTGGTTATTTTTATGAACATATTGTTCTCTGTTTTTTATATTCTTCTGTTAAACATTTGTTTTTTAACCTTTATTATGCTTTTCAAACATACATACATACATACACACACACACACACACATATATATATTATAATTACAAATGTAGATATACTTGAAATACTACCGGTGCCTTAATCTGCACCTCATGTTCGTGATGCGCACGCATTATTTGCGCATCGCGCATCGAGGCACTAGAGGTCCTTTGTGCATCGGTGCGCATCACGCCTTAAATAACTAAGGTTTTGTAAATAATCTAGTCAAAACGGTGAAACAAAAAAACTAGCTTAAAAATAAGTAAGACCTACTTAATTTTTCTCGCTTATAAGCTCATAAGTAGCTTATAAGCACAGAGAAAAATGTCATCAACTTGTAAGCAAAAAACAGCTTATAAGCACAAAGAAACACCCACATAATATCTTCAATATAAATTACGGGAAGACTTGGCCCTGTTCTCTTCAACTTATTATTTCTACTTATTACCTTATTCTTATTGGAACCACATGATATCACAAAGATTCAGATCAGATCAAAAATATTTTAAGACCAGGTAAAATTTTTACTCTAACTAGAATAAGATCATATCAGACTAGATATGAAAGATTCAGATCATATCAGACCTTAATACATTCAGATCAGGACAATTATAAGCCCCCTCACACCCCCACCGCACCCACCCACAAAGTTTCAGGTTCAAATGAGAAAAGGTGACATATCGACTAACACAAAACAATTTGGGTCATTTCTAGTAGTCCCTCTAATTTCAGACTTTCATGTTTGTAAAATACCGGCTTTCGATGTAATTTACAGAAGATCCACTTTTGATCTGAAATCAAAATTTTATATTTTTTATGTACATACAGTTGATTTGAACGTATGCGGTCCCAAGTCACACTCTATGCACCGGAATGCTAATCAATTTCACGTCCAAAGGCTTCCCTAAGACATTATAGCTTAGTTTGAAATAATTGGTGTTTATCTCAAACTCAAGTTTTACAAGAGAAAATCATCTCTGGCCAATTTATAAATTCATATATACCTTAATATACTATTCTACCTCTTGTAAATAAGAAGCACATGTCTGTGTATAGGCTAAGATTACATACAAATACAAATGAATTGAAACTACATAACATGCGAAATTGCAAGCATAAAAATAAGCATATTTAAACTTGCACACTATGTCACCCAACCTCCGAAGGTTGCTTCCAAAATTATCTCAAATTAGTTTCATAATTACCATGCAATGACAATGGTAAATTACCTTGATTAAATCTCCATGATATTTTTATTTAGAAAAAAAAACTTCTTGGCCTTCTCAGTCCACCATGATCTCGAATGTCATCAAAAATATTAAGGAATAATATTTAGTAGATTTGGGATAAATAGAAGATAATTAAAATAATTCAATAATATTTTCTTGGAAATTTTCAAAATGCTTCTGCCCAGGAGGTTTTCGTTGTTGTTAGGTGGTGGTAGACTTGTGGTTTGGCACGAGGTGCTTATTATTTGCTGGCCATGTTGTGCCTTTCCAAGACCGGCCACAGTTAGGGGTCACAACAGCAAAGGTTTACTCTCGTACACAAACCACTTCGTTGTCGTCCCCCCTTTTCAAGCAGTTGTGCTGATTTGTCCCAGTTTCGTCCTGCAACCTTGATTTCGTCAAATGAAGTTTCTTTGATCTAGTGTCATTGGTGTTGGTCCGTAGGGTACCAGTATATTTGGGTGAAGAGTTTTGGTTCATATGAAGAATTCGACTACAGATTTAGCTGTGTCCTTCAGTTTTGTAGCAAAACGGTATCATATATGAACATAGAATGCTAACTCAAACAGGGACCCATTTATGAGGCAAATGACAGGCCTAATACTTTGATCCCGCATATACTGTTAGTTGTTATATATTCCTTCAGTATTTACATAAGACCACACACTTTAAGTGATATAAATAAGACATCGTCAGATTCTCATATGTAGGATGATAATCAAAACACCAGAAAGTGATAACCAGATGCTCAGATGTAGAATGAATTACCGAAGTTTTTCAAAAGAAAAATAAACAGGAATATAGAAGCTTACCACCGTCTACTGGTGGCAAAGGAAAGTCTCTAAGCACCTGCTCCAAGTGTTCTGAGCTCTTACGACTCACAACACGAGCCACAAGACCCTCCAAGATTTCTCCTTGAACCTTTATATGATCTTTAGATCCTATACATCCAGGTAAGAAGAGGGTAAGAGATAATTTTTTCAAATAATATTAGAAATCATTCAAGCATGATAATACTACCACCGTCCCAGAATATTTGTCCAGTTTTGATTTTTTTTCAGTCAACCATTTTCAACCATTGACCTATAATTAAATAAAAAATATATTGTATATTAATTAAATAAAATAATATTTTTGAAAATATTTTATATAATAAACCTAATAGAACTATTTTTGTATCAATATCTAATACCATTTTTATTTAATTTGGGGTCAAAGTTTCCCAATTTTGATAAATAAAAGTCAAAAATGGACAAATACTCCAGGACGGAGTAGAAAGAAAGAATAGTTACAGGCTAACTCCTAATATATATGGTTTTTTTTAAATATGTATTTGAGCATGGTATACTTAGATTTCAAGTCTTTTGAATGTGGTTTGCTACAAGCCGAAGTGACAGTACATTTTAGTCAGCTCAAGAACATATGCTGAAGTGCTATTTATATACACAATATGAGATATGGTGTAGACCAAAGTAGAGCTAAGTCTACCCGCTACCCTAAACTTCTAAGCACTCTGCCGCTAGCTGGCACTTGGCAGCACATAAATATTCTCATGCCTAATTTGTTACATTAATAATCAACCATCTTGCTTTCTTCATCCACTCCCAGCTCCGACTTTTAAGGAAAAGATACCCTGAAGCTGAGCTGACCGAAGAAAGCCTTAAGGATATCATAGCCCTTTCCTTTGTAAGCATTATCCATTGATTCACCTTCACCAGAAAGGACAAATCTCAAACAACCGCACTTAGGGGTGTGCACCGGTCTGATTGGACCGGAACCGGAATCCTCTATTTGCAAGGACCGAAGACCGGACCTGTTAGATACCGGTCCGGACCGGTCTGGACCTGAATTTTCTGGTCCGGTCCGGGTTTACCCTATTATGGACCGGATTTTAAATATTTGACCTAATTTTCATTATAAAAAATTCATATCTAAATTGTATATGTAAATATATACTTCGTATATAATACCATCAATCCCCAAATTCATAACAATAACAATTCACTAGGGAGGGCAATTGTTAAATTCATAAGTTCATAACGCTACAAAATCCATGAAAAAAATCTCAAACCAAAGTTCAAACTTCAAAGAAAAAAATTAAATAAAAAATACTTAAAGTAAAAATTGAAATTAAGTAACATATCATGCTAGGAGCCTAAGAGAACTGAAAAAAGAAGAAATTTGAAAGGATAATGGTCTAATGAATTAACTATTTATTTTTAAAAATTAATATTTTATTATATACCGGTCTGGACTGGATAATTCCAGGTTTAGACCGGACCGGACCGGAACCCGGAATTCTAAATTTTGGAGGACCAAAGACCGGACCGGTCCATTCCGGTCGAGTTCAGGTCTAAATTCCGGTCTGGACCTGTTAATGTGAAATGGATGGGGAGTGCGGTCCATTCCCCATCCATTTCACATTCCCCACACACCAAAAACCCACATATCATAAGTTGTCACCAACCACACGTTCACCTCGACCAAAATGGTTGTCAAGTCAAATCCAATTTATGGCACAAATTGAGCTGGGGCTACCATTAACGGGTATACAAGTAACACAATGTTTCTTTTGACACAAGGATTCGCTATCATAATATGAAACAAAAGCCATTTGGGGGCCCTGCAACGCTCCATTCAGATCCAAATCAATTCCTCTCGCCTAACCCCACATCCACCTTCACTGTAGCTAATCAGTGTCAGCCCCCCTCCCCCTACCAGCAACCCCTCCCATCCCCCGGCCCAACGGAGCACCATAGGGCCCCGAATGGCCCTCAATGTCATAATATGATACCAAAGCTTGGTGTCAAAAGAATGAATCCAAACAGATATATAAGGTGGCAATGCGGCATTACAGTGAACATATGAGACTAAGCACAACAAATATGCAGATCAATATATGATATGATTCATCAAAATTATTCTTCATGTACACAGTACTACGCGTTAAACTAGATATTAGAATTCATCCAAAGCACAAAAGTGAACAAAACAATTTGGCCAAATTAACACATAACAAGTTGTCCCAATCCCTAAATAGTTCACAATCATAAATTTACCAGGAATAGATATATCAGCAACTTCGTCCAAGACCTTGCAGACAGAGGTGGCTGTTCCCTCTTCACAGAGGGCATCGTATGCAGCAAAAAATGATGTCACTGACTTCCTTCAAATAGAAAAAACAAAAGAGCCATTTATTAACAAGAAACTAGTTCCCATTACATTATTGAAGTGAATACAGTTTTGGAAGTGGGAGGACAAAAATCAACCGGTAATTTAGATCAAAATGCTCACGTGCAATGCAATAAGATGAGAGATAGTGCTTTTTCATGTAATTCCAATTTAAAGCATTCATCTAGATTTAAATATTGTCACTCAAAAAACAACATTTAGAAAAGTACCAGGAGTTAGTCATTTCCAAACATATCAAATATAAAACTTGCCTTTCAAAATAAATTGCTGAGCTAATAAGCTATATAAATAAACACTAAGTTAAAACATTAAATAAGAGAAGTAAAAAAGGACTGCATCCAAGTACGGGTGCAAGATATCACAATCAGAAAAATGCTCCCTCTCCCAAAATAAACCACAAATGGTCCTTTTTCATCTGTCCCAAAATTATCATTATTTTCCTTTTAAGGAAAACCATTTGTGGTTCACATTATTTCTCTCTTCTAAATAACTCTGAACCCACAGTTCCATTTTCCCAAACTCCGTGTTAGGTCAGACCAGGAACTAATATAGGGACGGAGTAATGAGATCTCATTGTTTCATCCAAATATCCGTGGGAGTAAAAAGAAAATGAAATTAAATCATATTGGAAAATCTGAAATCCCATTGTTAGTCAATGACCTTGTTGAGAATAACCACACATGATTTGTTGGTAGACGCCACTTTCTGCAAAAAGCAATTACATCTGGAGTTGAATAAAACTTTGGTTTTCCACTCCCCAATTCTGTTACTGCTGTAACAACCACTGCTCAAAGCAAGTATAAGAAAAATATCAGAACACGCAGCATTGCAACATACGAAAAAAGTAAGAAACATGATGAGTCCAATCATCCTTCTGCATAGATGATCACACTAAAATCTAATGGCTGCATTGTGTGGACTAAAAAAAATAGGGATCAAAGTCAATATCTGGTATCCATGTTTCAGTACAGGTACAACTTTTTGTGGTTAATTTCTTCAAAGAAAGAACAAAACCAAGAGATATGCTTGAATCCTTCAGTTCCAGGAATTCTTCACCGAAGTGAAAGAACAATTTCTCAAGTTTTGTAATCATTGACATCTTCAATTACTAGATCAAGGGTTAGATTTCTGCTTCAAGAGATCTTGCAAAATAGTCTGTTTATTGAAGAGCGGAAGTAGAACAGTTGTTGGATTTAAACCAACATCATCAATTCATTAGCCACTTGAATGAAGCATACTCTATGTTTAGTTTTCCTCTCTTACCATAATCTTCTCGTGGGCGTTGCCCATGATCGCCCAATACAGCAGTGACTAGCTCCATGGATACACACATGTGGTTATCCTGAAAAGGAAGAGCTGATCAGAATAAGAAAGTCCTATATTCATGCGAGTGGTATCTTGATACTTGATAGCACAAAATGCAACACATAAAATAAATAAACATGTTATAACAGAACAATGTCACAATAAACCAAGAGATGTAAAGTGAGCTGGTATATGAAGATAAATATATGCAATTTAAAGTTTAACTCATTACTATCTCAAGATATTTTCAATGCATGTGAAAATGACCTATGATAATGACAATTTTAGAATTTTCATCTCAATAGTCCTTCTGAAGTTGCAAAAGGCAGAGCATCTGGCATAAAACATTGCTAGTATGCTTTATTGCATGACTTTGTTGTTTTATTTAGGGGGGTGTATTCGATTGAGATTTCAAAAGATTTTTTTTAGAGTTTTTAAAATCCATAGATTATGTATAATTCATATATTATTTTAATTCCATATGAATCAAGATAGATTCTAATAAACTCCATATGAATCTAGATAGATTTTAATAAATTTGAGAGTAATTTAAAAAGTACATGTCTCCATGCCCTCTCTTCCTGGCTCTCCGACTATTTCTCTGGTGGGTTCGAATGGGACTCTCAACTCATGAATAGTACTCTCACATCTTCATCATCATCATCTTCTTCTTCTTCTTCTTCTTTTTCGATTCTTCCTCTTTCTTCTTTTCAAGTTGTCTCTTCAACTAACTTGGATGAACATCGGAGTATTGTGGCGATGATGGAGGAAGGTGGAGGTGACAGAGAAGGGAAAGGTGAAGGGGAGAAGAGAAGAACATGCATAAAAGGAGAAAGGAATCGGCAAAATCCCAACGATTTTGGCCGAATTCTTAACAGGGATTTTTATTTATACTCAAAATTAAAAATCCTTCAAAATCCACATTTTATAACAATCCTTGAGAATCTATCAATTTTCTAATACCATTAGATTTAAAAAGATTTTTCAAAGTGTCAATTGAATATCTCTGTATTTCAAATGATTTTTCAAAATCTCACTTGAATACCTTCATATTTTAAAAGACTTTTCAAAATCTCAGTTGAATACCCACTGACTTTTAAAATACAAAAAAATCCATCAGAATCATGATTGAATACACCCCCCTTAGTTTTATAATGTTAGCCAGCACTATGAATATAAAGCCATCATGGTTGAGATTAAAGTGCAGACTGTATGATGATCTGATCATATGAAGCAAAAGCAAATTTTCCAATGATTTACCTCAAGATATTTATTGAATTTTTCTTGCTTGCTACTTGCAAAAGGACCCCAAGCTTCTTTAAACATCCTCCCTAGAACAAAGACACCGACAGCAGTATAGCTGCACAAAACATACGAATGATACGATTGAATAAAAATGTAGATAATTGTGTATATAGGAGTTCAAAGGCAACAAAAAAACACAAGTCGAATTACTCGAATACCAAAATGAACATTGCATATGAGACAGTTTAAGACTGCTCCAAAATGTATGAAAATTAACAATGAGTGCATGCATGATGCATTAGGCATGGTTTGTCACTTTGACATCCTCAGCTTCCCATGAAAACATTATTAACTGTTGCATTTTCCATCATTCTATGAACATGCCCAATTGACAGTTGTACATAACTCTAACATTTCTCAAAGATATAAGAGTTCCAAACTAATTACTACCCTCTTGCCAAATCCCTTTTCTATAATAAAAAATGATGCAACCAAACAAACTAGACAGACAAAATAACATTGTAAATTTTTAATAATGCTATTCATTGGAGAATGAGATGTTTTATCATTACGAACTGTGCCAACATGTGTGTCGATGTTGAATATTTCATAAATTGGCAGCGTATTATCATGAGTCTAAACCAATGAGTGATTCAACTACAAAGCAGTAGCATTGGAAGATTGCATAGGCCATAGGCTAAAGAAAAATAACGTACAAGACACAGTCAGTCAACCCTTCCCAGTGCAAGAGCAATGCATGCCAAATAAACAATTTTGTTTACATTTCTTACAGAAAGTGCATATACCATCAGATAGTAGAGATGATCATTGTTATGAACCTACATGTTACCGAAGCTATTTTTTGCATATGCTCCACCCTCGTTCCCAGCATACATAAAGAGTGATCCAGAATGTTTAAGAGATACCTGATTGGAATCGATTCCGAAACTGGCATTAAATAAAATAAGAAATATCCAAAAGGTAATCACAAGCAAGACACCACACACGCACACACAAAGATGGAGCCTCTTCGTGATTCAGTATTCTTTAAGTAGGACAACAAGGCTAAAGAATACTATTCCAACATGCTTTAAAAGGAAACATGCCACTACAAAGACAGATCCCTACCTCCATTGTGGCCAAGCCTTTGGTTACCATCTCAATCATCCGCGCTCTAATCTGAAAAATTGCTACGATATAATCAACTGAACTCTCTTTTAACCTCATTCGAACAAAATTGAATAGTAAACTACCTCTTGATCAG